GAGGAGACGGGACTCATCACAGACGATGGAGGAAGAAAAGGTAAGGAGTGTGAACAGCCCACCTGAGGGTGACCCTGTAGAGCCCACCTTAGAGAGTCTATGGTGGGCTCTGCAGGGTCACCCTCAGGTAGGCTGTGTGGGATCTCAATTGGGCTCTGCAAGGGGTGTAACTAGAGATCAAAGGGGCCCCATACAAAATTTTGCTATGGGGCCCTGTGATTTCTAGTTACTTTCTAATACTTTTTATGCACAAGGGTGCTGCTACATCCTGACCAAAATCGATAAAGGAGTAGCCTGTAACATATTTACAGTGGGGCACCTGCGGCATGTGTCTTGGTGAGCAGGGTAAAAGAGAGAGGTTCCAAAATAGCACGCACAGTTTAGATTTATTTCTTCTTTTTATTATGTTTGTCTGGCTCTGGACACTTATAGGTTAGACCAGCAACATATCTAGATAAACTGAAGGTATAATATCTGCTTAAAGGAATCCTCTTTCTCAGTAGGCTGTAGAATGGCAGAATTTAGGTGAAGTCTATATTTAGAGCATCCCGATTCAAATATTATTCATTTTTATCAATGATAGTAATAATAATACATTTAAAACGGGAACTTTCCTGTTATCATAAAACAATATCCAGAACAGAATCAAATGTGTTTGTAAATATGTTTATAACTGCTTTTTATAACACGGTAAACAAGAAAAATGAATGTATGCAAAATATGCATTTTAGGAGCTATTTATGACTGTTGCATTGCTGATTTTATAAGGTGAGATGCTGCATGTTTTGCATGGGTGTATAATGTATAACTGTAAACAAGAAGTACATTTTCCTATTGTTGAGTTGGTAGTGTTCCTTTTAGTTTTCTGCTAGTGACCTAGTATTCCCTTTAGTGATTATATGCACATGGGACAGTAACAGGGGCTTACACGACACTATGCTTGCACAGAATTCTTGGTATAGCATAAGGCTGCCCAGCAATGGCTGCTAACATATGGACTGTATATATCAAACATCATTATGCAATATTTAAAGGGATATTAAACCCTATTTTGCTTTAAGATTTTCACAACACAGGTCCACACATACATTAGGTGCTGCTTCTCACTCTTTTAAACCTTTCCTTCCTTCATTGTCCTGATGATCCCATTCTAGCTGCTCCCACCTTCCTGTTTTAGGGTGGCTCCTTTCCATTGCAGGGTCTTAGGAAGCCACCCATTGCGTGCATACTCCTGGATGGCAGTGTGAAGTGGTAGCACCCTTCCATGATGCAGTAAATTATGTTCTGGGGCACATTTTCCTTTTCTTCATCAAAAATGGATGAGGGCTTAATACTACTTTAATATTACATTTTTAAATGAAAAAACACTAAAATGTTTATTCTGCAACGTGCAAGAAAACATGTACAAAAATATGATTTAGTGCTCAGCATTTATTAGGCTGATACAATGCAGGTTTTATGATTTATTCATTTATTTTGCACTTGATTCTCTATGCCCTCCCCATCCCCAGTAATTTATTTAATGTCTGTGAAAGTTATGAGCATGGACAGATAATAATATAATCTCCAAATAATACAGAACTCACCTGCTGGTACTGGAGTACAGTTCTAAAATCACTCTCATCCTCTGCAGTTTGGAATATATGACTGTTGAAAAGCAACATGCACAAGTCCATCCTGTATAAAATGAAAATAGGAATATGAATTAAACTTCTGTGAAATCAATCATGTCTGAAATGGGGCACAGTGACTGCTGCAGCTTTCAGGTCCTGTTCCTTTGCACTAGACTCTGTAATACTTTGTGCTTTTGGTGTCTATGGTGTCCACGCTCTTAGGCTACATTCACGTTTGGTTATCAGGGAAGTATAAACAACTTTTTCCTGCATTAAGATGTACCTGGGTTTAGCTGCTTTCACACACATTTACATGCATTCAAAATTTCAGTTTCAGTTCAGTTCAGTTTGCAGTCACTGTTTGGCCCAGAATTTTTGGACCGGCTCCTTCAACAAACTTTGATTGAAAAATAGACTTTAGTCAAACAACTGCTATTGTACAGAAGCTTTGACTTCAGTGGAGTAGAACTGTTTCAGTGCTGAGAAGCAGGGGCGTAGCTACAAATCATGGGGCCCCCGTCTAACTCTCTCTATAGACAATATGTGTAATTGATCCTTACATGAACTATCAAGGACAGGCAGCAGGAGATAGTCAGTACAATACTGGGGGAGCAGTGCTGAGGATAAATGTTCTAGTAGCATTTAATAATATAATAATGACGATATTTTATATTAGGATAAAACTGATTAACACTTCTGCAAACACTTGCTCCTAAACCCCAATACAAACCTCTTTCAACTCTAGCTTCATTTAAAAAAAAAATTGTAGAACTACAAACCTCAGTCCTTCTATAAGATTTTAACAGAGGTGAAACTCTGGGATTTGTGAGTGCATTAGGCATACAGGGTTAATTTCAGTCTGTAGCAGAAGTTCAGAGGGCAATTAATCTACACTGCTAAGATACATAAGCAAATGCTTCTACTGCACAGAGGGGGATCTGTGACTAGATGATCCTGAGGTCTGAATTCAGCCCTTCTATGCTGGAAGCATCACAGTTCCTTATCAGCCTCCATAATGTGGCCTCCTCCTACCCCAGGCCCCATAGCAGCCACGTAAGCTGCTTTGGCTATTGTTTCAGCACTGCCAGGTAGTTGAGAAAGGATTTGCTGCCCAGGAAGAGGGGGGTTTGCTGGGGGTAGCAGTTTGCACTGACCAGGGAATTGAGGTTAAGGTGCTTGGCCATGGCCTTTTAGGAAGTTTTGTTATTGGAAGTTTGGCCACTGTTACAAAATAACAAGAGAAAGCTGACTTTCAGAAGTGTTAGTATTCCATTCCATAGAGAATACATGATTGATGGGGTAAGCAAAAATGCAGACACGTTTCTTTTTATGTAGTTTAAACTCATAATTCCATATAGAATTACATATTACAATGCTACCTTTATCCTGCATCAATAATTCCACATTTAATATTTTCTACATAAATGTATTAATTTATCATGATCATTGTGGATTAGGGAACAATTATAGTCCAATTAGTAAACATTCTCTGTAGATATACATTTGTTATGTAACTTAAGCTCATTTTTCATATTATACTTAGTTTCCCCGGTGGTTCCACAAAAATAAATGTAACATATGTGCAACACTGATATATTATTGCTGTACATTTGAAGCATGGTTAGTTTTCTATTAAATAGCACACGTTGGCAAATCCCGTAACGACAGAAAATATTTATTTATTTATATAGCGCTGACAGTTTTACGCAGTGCTTTGCATACTGCGCATTCACATCAGTCCCTGCCCTCAAGCAGCTTACATTCTAAGGCCCCTATCTCACGTACATACAGGAATCATTTAGACAGGAGCCAATTAACCTACCAGCATGTTTCTGGAGTGTGGGAGCACATGCAAGCACAGGGAGAATATGCAACCTCCTTGCAGATATTGTCCTGACCAGGATTCGAATCCCATTGCTGCAAGGAAGAAGTGCAAACCACTACGCCACTGTACTGCCCATTATTTATCTTACCCTCAACAACTCTCTCACCAATTATACCTTTATGTAACACACAAAATATGTCAGAGGCTGTGGGCTGTCATGATATACCATGATTTGCAATAAGATTTTCATGGGAGTAGTGGTGGATGTGTGGTGCATTAATATTTGGTGCACTTGTCAGCTGATGACAAGCTGTGTCCTTCAACCTGACTTTGCTCATTGTATATTAGAAGGGTCCTGAACAAAAAAAGCTAATTTGTCTCTTGAACTGGATGCAGTTTGTAATATAGGACTCTTTCTGCTAGCCGACTGGTTTTCACTTACAGTGTAGTTAAAACAATCATTACTAGAGCAAATTGGGTAGCAGGGGCATTTGCTAGGGTCCTAGGTTACCTGGGACACCAGGATTGGAGACATAGTGGTGAGCTAAATACACTTCCAGTGTAAAGCTGATAGTCGGCTTTACACATGCAAACAGAGTAACGGCTACAGAGCCTGTTTAAAGGGACCAGCTGCCAGCGATGTACGAAATACATTGGTGGCAGCGAAAGGGTTAACCCCAGAGTTTAGTGTCACTTTAAAGAATATATGCATAGAACCGATTGTAGGCTGGTGGAATACAGAACATCATTCATATGATACTAGATAACAATTATACTGATTTTATGTAGAATATAGCATATCAATGTACAGCAAGGTAGGGCTCTCTTACTTTCCTTTGTAATATATCAAATCTAACTGATTTAGATGGACAGCATCTCCACTTTCTGCTCCAATTCTTATCAATCTTAGGTAACACATTTACCCTTTTAAGTGGGAGAACCACTTGTGCCAGTGGTTATATCGGAGGTAGCTTACAGGATAAATGTAATTTCATACCAAAAAAAGGCACGGATGCCACTTCATGAATTTCCCCCACTGTGTAGCATGCGGCATTGAAAAGGGGCACAGAATTTGGTGCTTTTCTGGCCAGTATTGGCCATCTTTCATTGAGCAGCATTTAGGCTGCCTTAATGATGTCCCTCTTATCTATTGTATATACAGTATCTATATAAATTGCATTGTTAGAAGAACTGTCAAACCATAGTGTAACAACAAGCAGTATGTATAATGCGAATCTGCTCCGAAATGTCAATATTTAAGTTGGACACTAATCCGCTTTAGTTTCCTTAATATACATCATACTTCAAAATTAAAGCAACTCATTTAAATAAAAATATTCCTGCAGCCAAGGCCTTTCACATCCATGTATCTTAATGCAATGCAAAGAACGTATTTACATAATTCCAAACCAAGATCTAAGATGTCTCTCATTCTAGAAGAAAGCATTCAACCTTCATTATTACATACAGTGAAATTTCTATCACACTAATCTGGGATCATCATTCTTTAGTCACATAGTTAAGCTTAGAGCATCACTACTATAAAGAAGTTTATAGGTTAACAGGCATATATTTCAAGCCTTCGCAATATCTCAAAAATGCAAGAACAGCTTGTAAACTGGAGGTTTATGATATGCGACATGCTTTATTAGGAGACAGGAGCAAAAAAAATGTGATAGTGTGTATTCTTTGGGCCACAAACTTTTCAACCAGTATAGCTAAAAGCATTATAAAGATGTTCCCTTTTCTGATTTGGAAATAGTTTAAAACAGCAGTTACTTGCTTCAGCAGTTTTGTTGCTTGGTAATGAAGTGTACCGCTCTAAGCAACTTCCACCGAGAATTACCCAAAGTGTTTTAGGAAACGCAAGCACATTTTGGCTACTCATAAAAGCATATGCAAACATAAAAAGGAAACTGAATATTTATGATAGAAATATAAGAATGTCACACTATGCCACAGTAAAACAGATCAGTTACATTTGGGTCAATGTCAAGGAGTATCTCTTTAGATCATTGACAATCTCATATGTAAATATCACATCATCTGAATCCTGCTCGGCACATCATTAGCTGCAATACGGCAGATGAAATATTCCTGGCATGTCATTGTGACACAGCAAAGTGCTAGGTCACCGGCTAGGATTTAGTTCATGTCAATGACATTTTGCTTCCTCTGTTTCACTCTAGCAAAGATGAAAGGAATTTTGCTTATGAAACCCCATTACTTTCCTGACTTTGAAACAAGTTCACTACACTAACACTTTCAAAAAGTGCACATAATTGCATAATTACTATTCCTGTACCCATCTATCATACAACACAGTAATTACCTAACACATGCATAGATGTATATTCTAGGGCAATAACTGAGGAAGCTAGAAAAAAAAAACATATTCTTAAATCAAGAGCAGAAAGCCTTCTCCAGTTATGATAGGAATCCGGAATATATACAGGTTTGAAAATAAATACATACAAATTATACACAGGGAACATTTACAGAATATTTATGCTGGTTTGATGTACCTGTCACTTACTTCCTGCATTTGAAAATACCAGAAAAAAATTATTTTATTTCCAACTTATACTTTTAAATATTTATATACAGTATCATTTGTAGAAAATGACACGTTATATACTGTAGCTACTAACTAAGAATAAATGCTATAACTAGGCTGCCACTTCAAAACAGATCCTGGGTACTATGCAGACTATAAGAGCTGATGGAGCTTGTTAATATATTTATAGGCTTACATACTTCAAGTCTCAGTTTTGGGAGACATAGGAGCATATATATTTATAAGTCAGTAAAAATGACATTCACCAAACATTTACTGCAGGTGAATCAATCACTGCAATTTAGAACACATAATTTGCCGTGACTGTTTGGTGAATGACACAGTCACTGTTTTATGAATATATCCCTTGTTTGTGTACAAATAAGGCAAAGCCATTTAATCTATAAAGGATAGACCCAACTTACAGGCTGTCCTTGACACACCTGGTGATTTGGGAACTACATATTAAATAAGACAGGGTGGATGAATGTAATGTGTGTATGTGATGACTGAAATGTGGGGGGATAATTGAGAGGGGAGGGAAAGCTGTGGAGAGGGGAATAGCAAAAGAGAAATATATATGAGGGGAATAACAAAAGGGGGAGTGGGCAGATAACATGTGTATCACCAGGCCCGTCTTTAATACTGATCGGACCCTGGGCAAACATTTTCTTGCCCCCGC